GCCTGTATTTCTTCCAACACAGATTTGTTTGTTCTTTAGGCAGTCCATGGCATTTTTCATATTCTTCTCCAACACCATAACTGAAGTACATCAACTCTTCTATGGTCTTCTTCTTTATTCATTATGCAACTTTCACATGCATTGAGGTTATTGAAAATACCATGGTTTGGATCATGTGCACCTTAATCCACAAACTGCCATCTTTGCTCTTCAACACTTTAAAGAGGTCTTGTGCTGCAGGACCAGCCTGCACGAGGGGGGTTGTCACCGGAGGCAGTGGGGAATGAAAGCAACAAGGGTCTCGAGATGTTAAGTACAGTCTTAGGCAGGAGGACTAAAGTGCGCCTGACCCCAGCCATAGTATTTTCCGTTACCTCGTATACATGTGAAATCTGGACAATGAGAAAGGGACACTAAAAAAGAATCGATGTCTTTGAATTATGGTGTTTGTGAAGAATATTAAATATGTCATGGACTGCCAAAAGAATGAACAAAGCTGTCTTAGAAGAAGTGCAACTAGAATTCTCAAAAGCTAGGATTAATTTTGTCTTACATGCTTTGGACATCCTTAAAGAAAGTAGAGCGTCCTTGAAAGAGAGGAAAACCCTTAAGGAGCTAGGTAGACAAAGGACTGCAGCTGTGGGCTTAAACACAGAAAAGATTGTGAGCATTGTGCAGGACTGGGCTGTGTATGGTTCTGTTGAGTATAGGGCCTCTAGGAGTCAGAACCACCTTGTCGACACCCTTCCTTATCTATCTGTTGAATGAGTTTGAACAGTATTGGTGTTGATTCTTTGCTTAATGTTTGGTAGAATTTCCCAGTGAAGCCATATGATCCAGGTCTTTTTGTTGGTGGTGGTAGATTTTGATCACAAATTTTGTCTTACTTTTTAAGGTCTGTTGAGACTTTGTATTTTCTCTGGAGTTAGTGTGGTGTGGTAGGTTTTATGCTTGTAAGAACGTGTCCTTTTTTTCTCTGACCCCATTGTGGTCAGAGAAAACACTCTGTGTGGTTTCAGTCTTTTAAAATTTCTCAAGGCTTTCTCTGTGACCTAAAATGAGGTGTGTCTTAGAGAATGATCCATATCCATGTGCTCTGGAGCAAAATGTATGTTGTGCTGCCTTGAGGTGGGATCTTTCATGTACATGAATGCCTGCTGTGGCGCTGGAGGATCAGCACTGGACTGCCAACCACAAGCTCGGCAGTTCAAACCCACCAGCTGCTCCTTGGAAACCCTATACAGAGTCACTGTGTGTCAGAATCGACTCAAGGGCACTTAACAACAATAATACTACATACATATATGTATACTTGTTTAGTCTAGTTAGTTTATAGTGTTATTCAGGTCTTCTGTTTTCTTATTGATACTTCTTGACGTTCTGCCCAATGTTAAAATTGGTGTACTGAAGATTTCAACTTTTTTGGTGGTGTTGTTAGTAATGTCCATTTCCCATTTAAGCCTGTCAGAGTTCGCTGTATATTTTTAGGTGCCTTGGAGGTGATTGCATACATATTTATGATTGTTTAATCTTGATTGATTTTTTTTCTCACTAAAAATGAGAAAAATCTTCTAACAGATTCTGTCCTAAAATATGCTCTGTCTTATTGAGATTACCACTCCAACTCTGTTGGTTAATATTTGCGTGTAATATTTTTCATCCTTTCACTTTCAAGCTATTTGTGTCCTGTTTAAAGTGTGTCTGTTATAAATAGCATTTAGTTGGATCATGTTATTTTTTTAATTCATTCTGCCACTCTGGAGCATTTAATGCAATTACTGATAAAAAGTGACTTACTAATTCCATTTAGTTCTTTGGTTTTTTGTTTTGATTTTTTAAGTTTTTATTTTGAATTATGTGGGTTTACATGGGAGAACATCAGTTTTACATCCATCCTATTGAATTTCGTTTCATTGCAGTGATTACAATCAGTTCTTTGGTTTTTGTGTGTGTTAAGCCTTCTTTGTCTTGGTCCTTAACTACTGCTTGTTTTTTTTATTTAGTTGATTTGTTGTAATGAGCCTTTTTGGTTTTCTTCTCCTTCCCTTCTCTGAATATTTTTCATGTTTCCTTAGTGATTACCATGAATACTGCATTTAACACCTTGTATTTATAACAGTCTAGGGTAAGTTGTTACCAACTTAACTTCAGTAACATACTAGAAATTCTGTGTGGGTATCATTTTTCTCTTTCCCTTTTGTGGTTGTTATCACTAATTGTGTCTTTATACTCTTGTACCTTATAACAGAGTTTTCTCTTTGCTTTTTATACATTTGTTACTAAAAAAACATGAAGAACAAAATATTTAGAATTATCAAACGTGAGACCTTATTACTAGGCATTATATTTTTTCATATATTTTACTTTCTTAGAGATCTTTTATTTATTTGATAGTGTGTTTTCCCGTCCATATGCAGAATGCCTATTAGTATGTTGTGTGAGGTCGGTCTGGGGAGTAGGAACTCTCAGCTTCTTTTTGTTTGGGAATGTCTTAATTTCACCTTAATTTTTGAAGGATGGTTTTGCTGAGTATAGTATTCTTGATTAGGTTTTTTCTTTCAGCGCTTTAAATATAGCATTCCACTGCCTTCTGGCCTCCAGTGTTTTTGAGGAGAAATCAGCATTTAATCTTATTGAAGACCGTTTATATATAACTGTTTACTTCTTTCTCACTGTTGTCAGATTTTCTTTTTCTCTTTAAGTTTTGTGAGACTAACTAGGATGTATGTTGGTGTAGATCTCTTTGGGCTCATCCTGCTTGGAATTATTTGAGTTTCTTAGATTTGTAGATTTTTATCTTTTATTAGATTGGGAAATTTTTCTTTCATTACCAGAGGGCTTCATAAAGTTCATGAAAAAATACCCTATCTTTTAATTCCATTTTCCGTGAACATTTTAAAGTCCCCTTGTATTTCTTCAAGAAGTCTTTCTTTCCCTTTATCTCTGTCTCATCTCTGGAATTTGCATGATACATATACTAGGTTTCTTTTTGTCTAATTATTGTTGTTGCTGTTAGGTGCCATCGAGTTGATACCAACTCATAACAACCCTATGCAGAGCAGAACGAAACACTACCCAGTCCTGGGCCAACCTCACAATTGTTGCTACGCCTGAGCCTATCTTTGTTTCCACTGTGGCAATCCATCTTTTTGGGGGGTCTTCCTCTTTTTCTTTTTCCAGCCCTCCACTTTACCACACATGATATCCTTTTCCAGTGACTGGTCCTTCCTGATGATATGGCTGAAGTATGAGAGACAAAGTCTGGCCACCCTGGCTTCCAAGTAGCACTCTGGGTGTACTTCGTCCAACGCACAGCTGTTTGTTCTTTTTGCAGTCCATGGTACTTTCAGTGTTCTTCTCCAACACCATAACTCAAATGCATCAGTTCTTCTATGGTCTTCCGTATTCACTGTCCAACTTTCACATGCATATGAGGTTATTGAAAATACCATGGCTTGGATCGGGCGCATACCTTAGTCCTCAAACTTAACATCTTTGCTCTTCAACACTTTAAAGAGGTCTTTTATGCAGATTTGACTAATGCTATATATTCTTTGGTTCTTGACTGCTGTTTCCATGAGTGTCAATGGTTGATATGAGCAAAATGAAGTCTTTGATAACTTCAGTCTTTTCTCTGTTTATATGGATGTTATTTGTTGGTCCAGTGGTGAGAACTTTTTGTTTTCTTTACATTAAGGTGCAACCCTTACCGAAGGCTATGGTCTTTAATCTTCATCAGTAAGTACTTTTAAGTCTCCTTTGCTTTCAGCAAGCAATGTTGTATCATCTGCATATCACAGGTTGTTAATGAGTCTTCCTCTAATCCTGATGCCGTGTTTTCTTCATATAATTCAACTTCGTAGATTATTTGCTCAGCATACAGAGTGAATAAGTATGGTGAAAGAATACCACCCTGGCATACACCTTTCCTAATTTTAAACCATTTGGTGTTTCCTTATTTTGTTTGAACAACTGCCTCTTGTGGTCCATGTACAGATTCCTCATGAGCATAATTAAGTGTTCTGGAATACTCATACTTTGCAATGTTATCCATAGCTTGTCATGATCCACACAATCCAAAGCCTTTGCGTAGTCAAAAAGCATAGGTAAACATCTTTCTGGTAGTTTCTGTTTTCAGCCAAGATCCATCTGACATCAGCAGTGATGTCCTTCGTACCATGGCCTCTTCTGAATCTGGCTTGAACCTCTGGAGGTTTCTGTCAGTGTACGGTTGCAGCCATTTTTGTATTACCTTCAGTAAAACTTTACTCACATGGGATATCAGTGGTATTGTCTGATGATTTCTGCTTTCTGTTCAGTCACCTGTCTTTGGAATGGGCACAAGTAAGGATCTTTTCCAATTAGTTGGCCAGGTAGTTGTCTTCCAAATTTCTTGGTCTAGATGAGCGTGTGCCTCCAATGCTGCATCAGTTTGTTGAAAGATTTAAATTTGTATTCCATCAATTCCCATCAAGTGCCTTATTCTTTGCCAGTGCCTTCAATGCACCTTGGACTTCTTCCTTCAGGATGATTGGCTCTTGATCACATGCTACCTCTTGAAATGGTTGTTGTCTAGTAATTGTATTAAATTGTGCTCAGCCTGCTTGAGCCTTCATTCTTGTTGCTCTTCATCACCTGTAATTTTAACTGTTGTATCTTTTAATTTGCTGATTCTTTCTTCTGCTTAAATCTATTTTTAAATCTTTGTATTGTGTTTCCCTTTTCAGTTATTGTTCCATTTAGTTGTAATATCATTTTTTTAGGTACCCATTTTGTTTGTACTTTGATTTCCCTATTTCTTTTAAGTCTTTGTCTATATTTTCCCTTATTAAAGTCCTGTAAGATTAGCACTGGACCGCAGGGTCGTTGGAGCCAACAAGGTCAATGGTTCAAATTCACCAGCTGCTTCTCAGAAACCCTCTACAGGGTCACTATGAGTCAAAAGTGACTCAAAAGCACTTAACAGCAACAACAGTGTTGTTGTATGGGATTCCCTTTTTCATTATTTCCTCATCCCTAGATGCACATTCATTCCCTTTGTTATGCTTGTTTCAGTGAGCTGTTATTTCTCTGTCCTTTGTGTGTATTGTGACTTTTTTGTGGGGAACTGGAATTTTCAGACATGTTCGGTTCTTCACAGTGTGTTTTTGCTCACAATGATTCCTGCAAAAAAAAATTCTTAGGAAGAGCCTTCTATCTTTTACTGTCTTCCCTCTCTCTTTGTGATACCTTCGTCTCCCTTACTGGCTTAATTAGGATTTGGAAGGTCCAGATTTTGATTTGCAATAATCAGTTACTCCCAAGCATACCAATGTGGCGCTGCATGGTATCCACAAGGTCGGCAATTCAAACCCATCAGCCTATCCTTGGACACCTATACATGGAACCGACTCAGTGGCATTTAACAATATACTACAGAAAGTGCTGTGATCACGGTGTCTACCAGAGGGACCTGTCACTCAGTTGCGATATTATGCATTAGTCAATCTGTCCACCAGGAAGCACAGCCCTTTTAGGTTATTAAGCCTTTCTTTCTTTGTTTCTACAACATGTTTTTAAGGGAAAACCCACACCCCGCTAGGCGCCTCCAGGGCTGTGTATTGCCCTCCAGTTTTGCCTGGGCTTTCTTGCCTTCTCTGTGGAGGCTGCTTATATGTAAACTGGCATTCAGGGGTTGGAGGGGCTGGTACTCCTTCATTGTACCTTCCAGAGATCTGTCTTGTTTTTTTCAGTGTCCCAGTAATTCTGATCCACCTTCTGACTCCTCTGTAGGAACATTCTGTATATTGTCTGTGAGTGTACTGTCCACTAAAGATGGCTGCTTTCCAGCACACAGCAGCCTCAGTCTGCAGTCCTGAGTACTGACTAGAAGAGGGAGTGGGCAGACCTGTGTTGACTCGCTAGGAGGTTTGTCCTATTGGTTTCAGAGGCCAGAGCTAAGAGATGCACAGGGAGGCAGGTCAGCTGGAGATGATACACGGGCTGACCCCACTGTACAGGCCTTCTGTAGAAATTTGCAGTAGACTTGTAGCCTGCAGTGTCCAGGTGGGAAAGGTGCTGTTACTCTCCCAATGGGCCACCAGGGAGGTCTGCCTCGAGTATAGAGCAGAAGTTTGCGGTCTTAATCTATTTGTGCAGGGCAGGAGCTGTGGTTCTTAAGGAAGCAGACTATTTTTCTGGATCCACTTCCTCAGTTCATAGCAGCTGATGACCCTGTCTCACTAGGGGGGAGGTGCAGGGGGAGTGGGAGAAGCAGTTTTTCTACTGTGTACATCTTGCTGAGTCATTGATTTCTTGCCCATCTATAGTTCTCTGCTACTTTCCTCTACTCCCTGACTCAGAGTCCCTCGGTGCCAAGCTCTGCTTCCTTGTTGTATTTCTTACTGTATTTGTGGGTAAAGGTCAGAATGTGGTCTGTTTACGCCACCATATTCCTGCTTAAAACTCTGTACTGATAAATGTTTTATTTTATACTCTAAAATTTAATCAGAATTGCCGCTGTATCATAATTATAATGAAAATTGTACTTGGCTCTAGTTTTCTAATACTCCATTTTGGAAGTCTTATGCTTTATACTCTGAGTCTGTCCACTGCCTTCTTTTTTGATACAGACTTTCCTACCAGGACTTGCTGGCCCCTCTGGGGAGGTGGTTAAGGCTACAATGGGTACCACATCCTCTTCGTCTGGAAGTGGAGACAAAGTCTATGCCCACCAGATGGTTCGTACAGATTCCCGGGAACAGAAACTTGATGCCTTTCTGCAGCCTGTGAGAAAGGCTCTGGCCAGCCAGCCCCAGGCCCTAGTCCCAGAAGACAGCACAGAGGGTCCTCTTGGCGGGGCCAAACAGCAAGATGAGGAGATGCTCGAACTCCCAGCCCCTACTGAAATGGCTGCTCAGCGCCAGGGCTCAGAAAAGGAGGCAACCAAGGAGACTTTAGAAACGTCAGAAAAGAGAGGGCCCGCTTCTAGCCCTGGCAACCCCAGGTATGGCCCTTTGGCAAAGTACAGCTGCATCTTCTGTTCTTTAATAAAACTACCTTCTCACTTTCACTTTTCAGGGACCACTTGCATCTTCTGTCCGTCTCACTTGCCCTGTGCTTCCACTGGGACAGTGCTGTGGCCTTGTCCACTGTATGCCCTTGACCATGGATTTGAGAGTCATACACCATGGTGTCCTTTGAAATATCTTAATATCCATGGTTCAAAGCATTAGTTAAACACTCATCAGAAAAATATCAGAACGTTGAGCCTTTATATTTGGTAAAGCCTTAACACCAGGGATAGCCAAAGAGAGACCTAAAATCTTGGGAGATTCTCTTTCATCCTATCCACAGCTTCTTTCAGACAAAGCACCCATTCCTGACCCAGCCCTGGTGTGACACTGTAGGATAAGCATTGTACTGTTAACCGAAAGGTTGGAGGTTCAAACTCAGCAGCCATTCCCTAGGAACCCAATGTGCAGTCACTGTGGGTCAGAACTAACTCGATGGCACTTATGAAGAACAGAAAAGCTGATATGATTCTTTATCCAGTTCATCAAACTTCCCCGAAGTATGTGAGCCAGTGGTAACATTTGCTGGAGAAGGGAGCTAAAAGAGTAATAGGATAAAAGCTGTTGTTAAGAATTTCCACTGTGACCTTTAAGTACTGTCTAGATCTTATCTGAAGTCTGTGAGGTGGGCAGATACTCTTTCCTCTGTGTTCACAGGTACTGAGCCTGGAGCTTAGTGTTAAGGCATTTGCCCATGGCTGCTCATCTGCTTGGTTGGTGTTGTTGGGTGCCGTCCAGTTGGTGCCAACTCATAGTGATCCTTTGCACAACACAATGAAACACTGCTCAGTCCTGTGCCCTCCTCACAGTTGTTATGTTTGAGCCCATTGTTACTGTCACTGTGCCAATCCTTCTCATTGAAGCTCTTGCTTTTTTTCGCTGACCCTCTGCTTTACCAACCATGATATTCTTCTCTAGGGACTGATCCGTGCTGACAACACATCCAAAGAATGAGAGACAAAGTCTCAGCATCCTGGCTTCTAAGGAACATTATGGCTGAACTTCTCTCAATGCAGATTTACTTGTTCTCTAGGTAGTCCATGGCACTTTCAATATTATTCGCCAACACCATAATTCAAATGATACTAGTATGGTTTTCTTATTTATTGTCCAATTTTTACATGTGTAAAGGTATTGAAAATACCATAGCTTGGGTCAGGCACACCTTAGTCCTCAAACTGATGTCGTTGCTCTTGAACACTTTAAAGAGGTCTTATGTAGCAGATTTGCCCAGTGCAATACATCTTTTGATTGCTTGACTACTGCTTTCATTTTAAACTAAAAATCCCATTGTGTACTCTTCGCTGAAAACCTTTCAGTGGCTTCCCAGTGCACATGGGATAAAACTGAGTCCTTGATTGCTTGACTACTGCTTTCATGAGTGTTAATTATGGACCCAAGCAAAATGAAGTCTTTCACGACTTCACTTTTTTCTCCATTCGCTGTGAGATAGTGCACTGGACCGAAAGGTCAGTTTGAACTGCAAGGTTGGTGTTGTTAGGTGTTCAAACTCACAAGCTGCTCCTTGGAAACCCTCTACAGGGTAGCTGTGGATCAGGACTGACTCAATGGCATTTAACAACAACAATTATAATGTTATTTATTGGTCTAATTGTAAGGATTTTTGTTTTCTTACATTGAGTTGCGATCCATACTGGAGGCTATAGTTTTTGATCTTCATCAGTAAGTATTTTAAGTCATTCTTGCTTCCAGTAAGCAAGGTTGTGTCATCTGCATATTAGTCTTTCTCCAATCCTGATGCTAAGTTCTTCTTCTTATAATCCAGCATCTCAGATTATTTAGTCAGTATACAGATTGTGTAAGTATAGGGAAAGGATGCAACCCTGATGCACACCTTTTCTAGTTTAAAATAATTCAGTTCCCTTTTTTTTGTTTGAACAACCGCCTCTTGGTCTGTGTTGACCAAGACAGGTTCCTCATGAGCACAATTCAATGTTCTGAAATAACTGTTCTTCACAATATTATCCATCTGTCCATTGTTTGTCATGATCCACATAGTTGAATGCCTTTGCAGAGTCAACAATGATCTTTAGAAAAATTTTATTGTGTGTGATATTAATGGTATTCAGTGATTCTCGTCTTCTGTTGAGTCACCTTTCTTTGCAGTGTGCACAAATATGGTTTTCTTCTAGTCAGCTGGCCAGGTAAACTATCTTCCAAATTTCTTGGCATAGGCTAGTGAGCCCTTCCAAAGGTGTCTCAGTTTGTTGAAACATTTCCGTTTGTATTCTTTTAATTCCTGGAGGCTTGTTTTTCCTGATGCTTTCACTGCAGCTTAGATTTCCTTCAATACCATCAGTTCTTAATAGTATGGTACTTCTTGAAACGATTGGCTATGGACCAGTTCTTTTGGTGCAATGACTGTCTGTATTCCTTCCATCTTCTTTTGATGTTTCTTGTGCCATTCAATATTTTGCCCATGTTGTTGTTTTTGTTAAGTACATCAAGTCACTTCTGACTCAGCAACTCTGTATAGGGTTACCGAGAAACAGCTGGTGGATTTGAACTGCTGACCTTGTGGTTAGCAGTTCAGTGCTTATCATACAGTGCAATACCAGGAGTCCATCAATTTTGCAACCCAAGGGTTGAAATTTTTTCAGCAGTTCTTTCAGCATTTTGGTTTTCTAACTCCAAGTTTTTTCACATTTCATTATAATACTTTAGTTTGTCTTCTCAAGCTGTCCTTTGAGAGATTTTGTTCAGCTCTGTTACTTTCTCATTCTTGTAGTTGCTCTAGCTTCTCTGTGTGCTCGGGCGTAAGTTTCAGAGTCTCTTCTGACATCCGTTTTGGTCTTGTTTTTCTTTTCTGTCTTTTTACTTTGTACCTAATTGCTGAATATCAAATCCCCGCCACTAATTGCCCATCTGAACATGGACAACTGACTTAACTTCTCTGTGTTCAGATTTTCTTCTGAGTCAGTCTTTCTAGATGACCTTTTTTTTTTTTTTAATTAAATGTTTTTATTTTGGATTGAGTGAAAGTTTACAGGGCACATCATCAGCTTCACATTCAACCATTCATATAGCTTGTTTCATTACATTGATTATTATCCCCTCCATATATCATCAATTTACAGTGTTTCTCTCTATCCTCTTTAGCTTTTTTTTTTTTTTTTTTCTAGATGACCTTTAATGAATTTTTCCAGAGAAAAATAAAGGAAGTGTATGTTTACTACTGAGTAGCTACTAGGTGCCAGTTCCTTGATATAATTATCTCATGTAATGTTCTCAGCAGCCCAACAGGGTCAACTCAGGGAATGAATGATTCTCCACACAATAGTCACAAGAATCATTTTAAACTGAAAATCCCATTGTGCACTCTTCGCTGAAAACCTTTCAATGGTTTCCCGGTGCACGTGGGATAAAACTGAGTCCTTCACGTGCCCTCCCTCCTGCCCACCACTTTCCCTGCCATTCACATCCACATTGGTCTTGTGGCTGTTCCTAAATCAACTGAGCTGTTTTTCCACTTGGCCTGGCCTTGCCATTACCTCAGTCTAGGAATGGGCTGGCTTCTTATCTCTCAGTACCAGCTAGAATATTGCCTCTTGCCAGAGGCCTTCATTATCCATTTAGTCTGAAATTCCCCCTCTTCTCACCTGTTACCATTCTTCTACATTAACTTGTTCTGTTTTCTTTGTAGCACTTTGTCACTACATGAATTTGGCTATTTTGTTTGCTGTTTGACTCCCCCACTGAAAGGTGAACTTCATGAGGGTAGGCTGGTCTGCTTTGTTCATTGCTCTTTGTAGCTGGTACTTAGATTGTTGGATGGATGGTTAGATGGAGGAATGAATGAATGATACTTGGCAAGTTCAGTTTCCTTGCCCAATGTCCTGTGGCTAGTCCTGCTGCTAGGTGCAGCTGCATGGCCAGCTGCAGAGATCTGGGAGTTATCAAAAAGGCAGTGTTCAGGAGAACAAAGTGATCTTGCTGGTCAGCTAGCAACACAGCAATCCTTCTGCAAATGTGCAAATTCGTCACAGAGAAGCTGTTTCCTTCTCCATAACTCAACACACAAAAGGTGACTCCTTTTATTAAAAAAAAAAAATTTTTTTAATTAATGATCTGCCCATCTCTTTTCTTCATTGCAGAAAGAGACTTCGGGAAAACTCTGATGTAGAAATGGTGGAAGATGATTCTCAAAAGCAAATGACAGCAGCCTGTACTCCCCGGAGAAGAATTATTAACCTCACTAGTGTGCTGACTCTCCAGGAAGAAATTAACGAGCGGGGACATGAGAGTACGTACATGCTAAGGACTGCCAGGGACTCCATATGTCTGAGTGGCTGCCATTAAGTTTTTGGAAATGCAAAAAGTGTGTTTTCAGGAAGGTCACTGTAGTTTGCTGGGAAAACCATCCTTTATTTACCGACATCTATTAAATAGCAGCTTGAAGACACCTGCCAACTGGGAGAGAAGAGAAAAATAGTCTCTGTATGTTTTAGTTAAAATTAAGTGCTATTTTCATTAAGACGTGCGAGTCAGAGTGAAGCAGGCATTTAAATAATCCTTAGTTTTTTTCTGTAGCAAAGGACAGTGGGATCTTAACCTGTGGCTCAGATAGAATGTGGTATTGCTAAAAAGGAATAGTCATTTAAGGTAGCCCTGTGTGTAAATCCTGGCTCCTCATTTTTCTTCATCAGTAAAAGGAAATGAATTTTATCCATCTTAAAGATTGCTGTATTGATTAGAAGTAAAATGTAAGTGAAACACATGGGACAGAATAAGGAATCAATAGATATTTTAGTGTCTTGATGATAAAGCTTAGATTAAAAATCATCATCTTCCTCAGAAATGGCTTTGAAAATACCTGACTGTAGCAGTTAATTTTGGTCCCTGTTACTTCAAAACTAACTTTAGTTAGTGGTTGGTGGATCAAACCCACCAGCCGCTCCTTAGAAACCCTATACAGGGTCGCTATGAGTCAGAATTGACTTAGATGACACTCAACAACAACAGTCAACCTCCCATAAGGAGCCTTGGTGGTGCTGTGGGTTAGGCATTGGGCTGCTAACTTCAAGATCAACCGTTCAAACTCACCATCCGCCTCTCAGGAGAAAGATGAGGCTGTGTGCTTTCATAGATGGACAATCTCAGACAATCTCATAGGTCTATATAAGAATCAGAATCACAACAATGGTAGTGGGTTTGTTTAGTCACCTCTCAGTGAGCACTGGTGGCACAATGAGTGAAGCATTGGGGCTGCTAACCGGCTGATCTGTGAGAGAAAGAGTAAGCATTCTGCCTCAGAGATTTCTGGCCTTGAAAACCCTAGGGACTAGTTCTGCTCTGTCCTGTCGGGTTGCTGTGAGGCAGAATTGAATTGACAGCAGTGGGTTGGGTTGGCTTGCAACCTCCCAATGAACCCTGCTTGTGCAGTAATTTAAGTACTCGACTGGTAACCAAAAGGTCAGCAGTTCGAATCCACAAGACATGGAGGACCCCGTGGTATAGTTTTGCTGTTTCTTACAGGGTCACTATGAGCCAGAATCGACCTGGTGGCAGTAGCTTTTGGGTTTGGGGTGTTTTTGAGAAGGGTATAAACACTCTGGGACTAAGGCTTTGTCAGTTCTAGAAGTGTCTGCCATATAACTTCTGATTTTCATTTCCATGAGAATGTGCGGTAGTTGCTCTCTCCCTCTGTTACTGACTTTCAAGGGGGTAGGGGTGTTACTGGATTTATTTAGCAACAAACTCCCTCATGTGGAATTTACCAAGTTTTCTTTAAGGGCTTGTATCCCTCAGACAAAGTAGAATATGTAATGTTATAATTCCAGTTAATTCCTGAGTTGTTTGAAACTGATTTCAATATCTTGTATAACTAGCCTGGGACAACTTTGATCAGATTTGGATTCCATTGCTAAAGGTAAAATTGTACATTGATACATGGTATGTCATTTAATTCTAGAATAGTCTTGTGAAGGTGGCAGGACAGTGCTGTTAACCCCGTTTTAAAGATAAGGGAAATGGAATGGAGAGTGTAGGGTAGTTGTAACATCCCAGCAATCAAACACGGTCAAGGTCCATACCTTGGTGATAGTGGTGGTTACTGGCATGACAGGAAGAGAACCTTTTATTTATATGCAAAACCAGTTCAGCCACCTGTGTGAGACTGAGCCCATCCTGTGAATCTGATCCTGTTGACCGAGACTGAGGTCTTTTCAGATACCCGCACTATAGGATCTTACAGAGGGAGGTGCCTCTGGGCTGTGGCAAGTAGAATGAGCTCCTCCTCCAGAGCTAGACGAACTTCCACTCAGAAGCCCGTGGGAAGTGTGTTCACCTTTTTGGGTCTCATTTTCCTGATCTGTAAAATGAAGGTATAAACACAGCTGTCACTAGGCTGTTGTGATGAACACCTAAGATACCTGTACCTGTTTTGTGAGCTCCACAACACTGATAAAGGGGAGAAACCTCTGCTCTGGGCACATCATTCAGATAATCACAAGTAAGTACAACTGAGAATACGCCATGACAGGGGAAGCATTTCGTCCTTCTTTCCTGGTCTAGAGGTGGGACCCCATCAGGAAGCAAACAGGTCTATTTAGGTGAATGGTGGACCCCAGGAAATCTGGACTTCACAAAAAGCCCTGTACTACATGCAACTCAAAGACAGCCAGCTTTCCCCAGCTTAGGGCTATGGTGCACAGAAGAGGCTACAAGGAGGACCAGGGCAAGGATCCTTCACTGTGGAGGGCCTGGCGTGTGCTCAGTGGCTATTTGCTCACAGCATGAGTGGGTGATTGAGAGGAACAGACTGGAAGACAGAACCCTAGAACCCTTACCCTGAGTGGTTGTCAAAGTTGTACTCTCAATCTGACAGCTCTCTTGAGTTTGGTGGGTTTATGGTCTCTGTTAGGCACAGTTTTGATTAACAAATGAGCTTATTTATTTTATAATTTTGGGAGGCCCAGTATCCATGGAATTAGGAAATGATAACTGAACTTACTCATTGCTATTCCCATAGTTTTGATCTGTTAATTGATGAAGATAGAGAATGTCATAAGCTACTTGCTATATTCATATTAATGTGAAAATGTACTTAACATTTTTAGCCTGTAGCTATCCACATCTTAATTCCATTTTCTTGGTCTTTGGTGATCAGCCCAAAATCAGCTCAGCAAACATTTATCAAATATCCTCAGTACAAAATGTACTGGATCATAAGTACTGGACTGTTAACCACAAGGTCAGTGGTTCAAACCTACCAGCTGCTCCTTGGAAGCCTTGTACAGGTCTCTGTGAGTGGGAACTGACTCCACAGCAGTAACAACAACAACTCTGAGGTGGAGGGTGAGGGGCGTGAACCAGGGCTGTACCCTTGAGGGATAGTGCAATGCTATGGGGGGATTAGTCAGTAAGTAACTGGCTGCAACGTAAGGTATAAGGAGAGAAGTTCTGTAACAGAAAGCAGTCCTGTTCAGCCGGAACCCACCAAGAGGAAGCTGGTGAAATGTGCTTGATAGTTAGTAAGCTGGAATCGTTTTTCGACTGTCTTAGGCAACAGCAAAGACACCAGTGGACAAGCTGCTGAAGACTGTTTCTCTGCCAGTGAGCGTTAGGAACTAGACGACTGGTTGCCAAGCCTTCAGGTTTGACTTCAGTTGCTGCTTCTCAGAAAAACACACTGGGACCCAAGATCTAAATTATGAACTCAGATGTGTGGTTTGGCTTTGACACACAAAAGGGTTTTGTTTCATTTTGGTTTTTGTAGAATGGTATGGCCTTGCCCACAGACTTCTGGTGCTAATGGGACATTTACAGTAGGAATGAAAGATAGGTCCTCCCGATCTGGACAAGAGACCTTGAAGAGGTCTGTGAAGCCTCCCAAAGCCTCCCATGGCTTTGTTAATTTACTGCCTGGAAGAAACAGCAACTTTGAAGGCCCAGAGCTTGCTGAGCTTAGCCCTCCCGCTCTCCTCCCCGTGCTGGCAGAACTGCCTTCCAGTAGCTATGGATGCGTCAGAGCGTCCCATGGAAAATTTGTATGGAAAAATCTCTGACCCTTTTTTAGTGGATTAGTGAGGCTGTTTGCTCTTTTCTCCAGTGCCTCATTATTCAAGATTATTTGATGTTCTCCAGCTTGTAAAATAATCATTTTCCCGCCTACGCAGAACATCCTGTAGACACATTGAGTTTCCAGTGGGAACAGAGAGGAACAGTATTTTAAAAATGAAGAAAATTCGTGCCTATTTTCTTTGTGGAGGGGCTGCAGAATTTATGTAACAACCAGAGAATTCACGTGAGCACAAGCTGAAAACAAAAAATAAGGTGGGGTGGAAGTTTACTGGACAGGCTACTTGCTGTCCCTAAGCCTAGGGGCTGTTGTCTCCACTTCCTCTTCCTCCCCTTTTTTACTCTGATGTTTTTATTCCTTTCATTAAAAAGAATGTTCATGCAGATATATGGGTAAATTCAAAAGCATATGTTAAGAAATATGCGAGTAAAATGTTAGAAAAAAAAAGGCACATTTATAAGATCAGTACCTACCTGTTTAAGACAGAACATTGCGGTCATCTTTGAAGCTCTGTGTGCTTCTTCCCCACCCTGTCCTCTGCCCTCCTCCTCTAGAGGTAACAGCTATCCTACATTTTGCGGTCATTATTTCCATTCATTTTGTTATAAATTTACCACCTGTATTTGTATACCTAATTTGTTTAGTTTTACAAGTTTTAAATTTTATATAAATGGAGTTCCGTTGTTGTTTGTATGTTGGGATGTCACTTCTGACTCAGTAGTGAGCCTACATCTTGGTTGTTAGGTGCCATCAAGTTGGTTCTGAATCATAGCAACCTTGGACGTCATCCTCACGGCTGTTACATTTGAGCCCGTTGTTGCTTCCACTGTCATCCCATCTTGTGGGGGGCGGGGGGGGCGTCTTCCTCTTTTCTATTGACCCTCCATTTTTCCAAGCATGATAGTGACCCTATAGGACAGGGTATACCTGCCCCATAGCATTTCCTAGACTATCATCTTTACAAAAGCAGATCAATAAGCCTTTTCTCCCAGTACCACAGATGTGTTCGGACCACTAACCTGTTAATAGCTGAGTGCTTACGCATAGCACCTTGAGGGTATACATATTTTTCTGTAATTTGCTTTTATTTTTATGTATCTATCAATTCATATGTCTCTCTGTCTCTCTGTATATCCTAAGGTTCATTCCATCTTGTTACATATGTTATTATTGTTAGATGCCACTGTGTCATTCCATCTCCTTGGAGGGCTACCTCTTCTTTGCTGAGCCTCCAGTTCATCCAGCATGATGATCTCTTCTCCAGGGATTGGTCCCTCCTGATAATATGAGAGACAAAGTCCTACCATACTGGCTTCTGAGAAGCACTCTGGCTGTACTTCTTGCAACACAGATCTGTTTGTTCTTCTGGCAATCCATGTTACTTTCAGTATTCTTCTAACATTATGATTCAAGTGCATCAGTTCTTCTGTGATCTAACTTTCACATGCATTTGAAAATACCATGGCTAGGGTCAGGCACACTTTAGTTCTCAGACTGACATCTTTGGTTTTGAACACTTTAAAGAAGGCTTTGGAGCAGGTTTGCCTAATATGTCATTTGGTTTCTTGTCCACTGATTCCATGAGTATTGACTGTGGATCCAAGCAGAGTGAAGTCTTTGACAGCTTCCATCTTTTCTTCATTTATCATGATGTTATTGATTGCTCCATTGGTGAGGATTTTTTTTTTTTTTTACATTGTGGTATAGTCCATACTGAAGCCTATAATCTTTCATCTTTACCAGTATTTTAAGTCCTCTTCAATGTCAGCAAACAAGGTTGTGTATCTGCATATTGCAGGTTGTTAATGATGCTTCCTTCAATCCTGATGCCACATTCTTCTTCATATAATCCAGCATCTTGGATTAATTTCTCAGCATAACAGATTTAATAGGTATGGCACCTAGCTTTCCTGATTTTAAACCATTCAGTATCCCTTGGTTCTGTTTGAATGACTGCCTGCTGTTCACTATACAGCTTCTTCATGAGCACAATTAAGTGCTGTGGAACACACATTTTTCCCAGTGTTATCTATAGCTTGTCATGATCTACACAGCTGAAGACCTTTGCATAGTCAATAAAGAACAGATAAACTTTTTTCTGGTATTTTCTTCTTTCAGCCAAGATCATCTGGTATCACCAATGCTATCTCTCATTCCATGTTCTCTTCTGAATTTGGCTTCCATTTCTGGCAAGTCCCTGTGAATGTACTATGGCAGCTGTGTTTAAATTGTCTTCAGCAGAGTTTTACTTAATTGTGATATTAATGATTATTGTCTGATGATTTCCACATTCCATTAGGTCACCATTCTTTGAAATATACACAAATATTGACCTTTTCCAGTTATTTGGTCAGGTAGCTATCTTCCAAATTTCTTGGCATAGATGAGTGAGCACCTCCAATGCTGCATCTGTTTTTATTCCATCACTTCCTGGAGCTGTGTGTTTTTGCCAGTGCCTTTAGTATACCTTGAACTTCTTCCTTCAGTACCATCAGTTCGTGATCATATGCTACCTCTTGAAATGGTTGAACAGCAACCATTTATTTTTGGTATGGTGACTCTGTGTTCCTTCCATCTTTTTTTTTTTTTTTATGTTTTCTGCATCACTCAATATTTTGCTTGTGGAATCCTTCAATATTTCAAGTCAAGGCTTGAATTTTTTTCTTCTGTTCTTACAGCTTGAGAAATACTTCCCTTTTGGTTTTCTAATTCTAGGTCTTGGCACATTTCATTTTAATACTTCACTTTGTCTTCTCAAACTGCCTTTTGAAACTGTTCAGCTCTTAATACTTCCACCTCTCCTTCCTAGACTATCCTAGCAAACTCTATTGAAACCTGTCAACCACCGATGACCCTGCTAATATTTAAAATACCGCTGGCATAGCTTCCTGCAGTATTCAAGCCATCACAGTACGACAGACTGGCATATGAGTGGTGGTTGTTGCATATAGCTCAGGTTTTATTTTTCGGCATAATAGATTCCTCTTCATGAATATACAGCACGTTTATTCATTCATTCTACTATTGAAAGATGCTTCCATCCTTCCTTCTTCCAAACCCCTCCCCTCTGTTTCCTTTCTACCCTGTCCCCTCTGCCAAGAATTCATGTCTTGGTACACTGATTGAGAAGTGCCGCTCTAGGATATTTAAGGGGGCTCCCAAAAGTTAATGGAAATTGTTCATTTTCTTTCAATTCCATTGTTCATTATATGACTCATTATATGCCAATTGTTTTTCAACATGATTGTATTAACTTACATTCCCATCAACAACATGCAGAAAATTTCTCCTCAATATATAATATATTGGATGTTTTACCAATTTGGTAATTATTAAACAGTATTTGATTGTTTTTTATTTGCATCTTTTTGGTTAATAGTAGAGTTCAATTTATTTCCTCATGTGATAAGTGCTTCTTTACATGTTTTGCTTATTCTGTTGGTTTTTGAGGATTTTGTCCTAGGTATTATACAGTTGCATGAAGATATCTTCCCCCAGGTTAGCTCTCATTACGTGGTAACTTTTTTAAATGAAAATTTCGTTTAGAAACAGAAATTCTTAGGTTTAATATATTTACAGATTGTTTCAATCTGTCCTTTACAAATAGATTTTTTCACCTTATAAAAGATATCCTTCCCTACTTTGAGATAAATATATTCTTATATTGTCTTCTAAAAGTCTTAAATATTTAAGGCTGTCGTGTACCTGGAATTGATTTGTGTGTATGTTTGTGGCATGAGGTTCACATTTTCCATGTGAATGTCTTGATTGTTGCATTACACATTGTCATTGTTACCCATTGCCTTAGTTTCCTGGTGCTATTGCAACAAAAATACCACGAGTGGGTGATCTTAAAGGATAGGAATTTAGTTTTTCACACATCAGAAGGCTAGAAGTATAAATCAAGGGTTTCTAAGTATATCTCTAATTTTGTCTAATCTGGCTCCGCTGGGGAGAACCTTTTTGTCTCTTTCAATTTATAGTTGCTGTTGTTATGTGCCATGGAGTCGGTTCTGATCCATAGCGACCCTGTACAGGGTTTCTGAGGCTATAAATCTTTATGGGATCAGAAAGCCTCATCTTTCTCCCGCGGAACTGTTGGTAGTTTCGAACTTACAGTAGCTATTAGCAATTCTTGGCATTCTTGGGTGTGTATGTATTTGCCATGTGTGTCTGTTTCATAGCACCTCTTCCCCTGTTTGTGTTTCAGTATATCTCAGAAGTGATGAGGTTTAGGACCCATCCTACTCTGGTATGACTTCTTTAACATAACAAATAAAACCCCTGTTTCCAAATAAGATCATATCCATAACAGGGGCCAGGGTTTTAGTACATATTTGAGGGGACACAATTCAATCAATAATACCTGCGTATGTTGTTAAGTGCCTTCAAGCCAGTTCCAACCCTATATAGGGTTTCCGAGGACCGGCTGGGGGGTTTGAACTGCCAACCTTGCAGTTCAACCTGAGCTTGTGGTCCAGCGCATTATCCCACAGTAGCACACAGGACTCCAGTGTATTTGCTTATAAACCTTTGTCTTAGTCTTTTCATAGTCAGCCTGAAGTACGGTCTTTAGTGGAAACTGGTGGCAAACTCTTAATTCTGCGTATTTTTAAAAAGTATTTTTACTGAGTATAAAATTCTTTATTAGTACACTGAAGATGTTATTCTGTTGTTCACTGCCTTCTACTGTTGAAAACTCACCTATCAGTTCTCTCTTTTCTGAGTCCTTTTAAGGTCTCTTAGGTGTCATTCAGTGTCTGTCAGGTAGGGGTTTTGTTGGACTTTATAGAGCTGAGACTTGAATCTTTCATCACTTCTAGGATAGTCTTACTTATTTTGCCTTCATAGTCTTCAAATATTTACCGTCACCCCTGCCTGTTTAGGAACTTGTTACGTATTTGTCTGCCATGTTATTGAAGCTGTCTTTCGTATTTTCTCTCCGTGTCTCTGTGCTGCTTTCTGGGTAATGTCTCTAGATCTACCATCCAGTTAATTACATCTCGAACTATTTCTAATATATTGTCACAGCCATCTTGATTTTTGTATTTCAATTTTTATACTTTACCATTTTAGAAATTTTATTTGGTACTTTGCAGAAACTCATGGATCATTTTGGATAGTTTCTTGTTGTTTACTTAACGTAACAGTTTCAGTACCTCTTAACCATACCGAACATACTTATTTTATGTGTGCTGGTATTCCCAATATCTGAAACATTTGCAGATCTGATCCTGTGGTTTCTTCTGGATTTAAATTCTTGGTGCTTTCTTTCTCTTCATGATTTGTAAATTTTTAACTGTTAATTCTTGATACTTTATTGTGGAACATTCTTTGAAGCCTGGATTGAAAGTGAATTTCTCCCGAGATAACTAGCATTTGATGCTGCTATGGACCAAGAGAAACACAGCAGTCAGCCCTGTAGTCAGTTTCAGTTTAAACTAGGATCTCCATTCACTGCCTAGGGTGAATTCTCATTGCAAAAGCATTCTCAAGGATATATTATCTTTCTGTCTTTCTCTCAACAACAAGGTCAGAGGCAAACAGGCAACTTTACTTACTATTCTTTGAACGGGATGGGATACGTATGGGAGATGTGCGAAGTTTCACGTTTCATGTGTTAGGTATTTCATGTTTTGGGGGAGGTCATCTCTTACTAGATTTCCCACTTCAAACCATTCCTAGGTATTGTCATCTATTCGCCACACCCTTAGCATCTCTGAGAGCTGAAGTTCATGATTCCTGAGCTGCTTGTGTGATATTGGTTTAAAGCTGATTTTTAGTACTCTCATTGTTTCTCTGGGTTCTTCCTTTGTCTCAGAGTCTGATCTTTGGGTTTTCCTTATTCTTTTGGCAATTCCTTACTATAAAAGGTTAGTTTATCCTTTAGACCTCATTTGTCTTTGAGGGTCAGGTCAGCAGGAGGGTCAGTCCCAGCATCTTTGTTTTTTTATGAATTCTAGTTTTGGTACTGATGCTCTTTGGACTGCAATGAGGTGCTGGTGGGATTCATGTTTATCTGTGGATTTTTTTCTCCTAGGTCTCCGGGAGATGCTGCATAACCACTCCTTTGTGGGGTGTGTGAATCCCCAGTGGGCCTTGGCACAGTATCAGACCAAGTTATACCTTCTCAACACCACCAAACTCAGGTAAGTTACTGACAGAACAGAGCCACTGGAATAATGGTGTGTGGATTGAATTGTGTCCCCCAAACATAATAACCCTTGTGCCCATGGATGTAGCCTCATTTGTAAATAGACTTCTTTGTTGTGTTAATGAGACCATATCAGTATAGGGTGTCTTAAGCCAACCTTTGAGATATTAAAGAGCAGATTAGGCACGGACATAAGCAAGTTCGTTTATGGGGAATCTAGGTACCATGTGACAATCTTAAGGAATGCCAAGAAGAAGCTGAGGAAAGGGTTTTCCCCCGAGTAGACAGCGCTAGCCATCCCCTAGAGCTGGTGTCCTGCAGTCAAACTTCCAGCCTCCTAAACTAAGAAAATGAAATTCTGTGTGTTAAAGCCACTCACTAAAAAACTAAGTCAGATGGTCCAGGGGACACAGGTACAAAGTATCCGAGAGAGGCATGAGGGAGTTGGAAAGGGGGCAGGCTTTGGAATCAGATATGGTTTCAAACCCAGACTTCAGTGTGTCATTTATGTGACTGTAGACAAGATACTTCCCTAAGCTGTAGCTCAGGGTTATTAACTATTTTACTTTCAGGTTTTTTGTGTGAGGATAAGAGATAGCTTGAGAAAGCCTAGTGTTTGGTAGGCACTCAATGAATGTTAGTTGCTTCTGTTACCCCATGCAGCTGCTGTGAGCCAGGTCTTGAGGGTTTGGTGCTGTTAGAGAGCTTAAGTATCTCGGTGTGACTGGGTACTATGAGAGATGCAGGAGAAAGAAGACCTGGTGCTGCCTTCACCCCAGTTTGGGGGATTAGCAGAGTTTTACTTTTGCCACCAGAGAAGTCAGTGGGGTTGAGAAGCACAGGAAGGGTGATCCCAGTTGAACGATTTTCCTGGTGCATAGCTGCCTCCATTTTTGTTGATACTTTCAGGGACCTTGGTGGATGAGCTCCTGGTGAGTCTTGAACCTGTATTAGAATTGTTCTTGAATAGGTAGTACAGTGGTGAGATGCTGCCGTCTGCATTACCGGGTATTACATAGCCATTGTGGGACTCTTCCCACTCAGTCTTGCTGTGGCTCACAGTGCGCCTGAGCCCTGTAAGTGGGGCAGCCACCGTCAATTGCTTTGAGTGAACATGTGATTTACAAGCCTGTTTGCCTGCCTGGCCTGGAAGCTGCCTCAGTTTAGATGCTTACCAGTGGCACACCTACTCCCTGATTTCCAAGTCCAGTGTCTTTGCCTTGAGAATCTTTGGGATTGCTGGTGAGCTGCCACTTAATAATTTGTTGGGGAATGTTTTTTCCTTGCTTTGTCTTTTCCAGTATCTGTAAGTGAATAACTTCCAGGGCTCCAAATCATAGTTGTGTTCAGGTTGTTAACCTCACAGGAACAAAGGCAGGCCACTCCCAGAAAGAATTTCAGTTATTAGTTAATGTGAATGGTTTCCCAGTGAGAAGGAAGAAGAAATACCAACCAGAAAAACTAAACCTAGGGAGTAAAAACCAGCTTCAGAGTCCAGCATCTAGAGTCAGCTCCTTCAGCCACTTTAGTAACTGTGGCCTGGGACAAGTCATTTACTCACAGGTGCCGCAGTTTCCCCATCTGTAATGCAGGCAGAGCAGAGGCTTTGTCTATTTTCACTGGCATTGGAGCCTTTGAGCCAGACCTATAAGGTTCAAATTGCTTTAAGAATTTCAAAGTACCATATTTCAGTTGTTTTCTGTAAATCAGTCAGTATATAAAATACTTCACAGTTGTTTTTGAAATGCTGCCTACCTTATGTCCTCATTTGATTTTTCAGGAAGACTCCTTGTTCTCCCTTACATTCCACATCATTTTTAATGGTGAGTTATAAAAAAGTGATTAGTAGGATTCTTTCAGTGAAGGGGAAAGTAAACAAATAAAAACTCCCTAAATGTCACTACAAGATGTCAGAAATCTCTATCGGGACCAGCTGGCTGAGCCAGAACGAGGCTTAGAGCAAGACAGAACTTGGTTCCAGCCCTTTCCCCTGCATCATGGGGGCTGCAGCCAGCTCTCAGAACGGTGGAAGATCTTATTAGACTGTTTAACCACATTCCACAGCAAGGCAGAACCACCTCTTGGTCCCACCGTGTTTCAGGCTTGCTTGTTTCTGAAGCAGGACTTCAGCTTTTCCTTAAAGTTGCTTTGTTTTTATTTTCAGTGAAGAACTGTTCTACCAGATACTCATTTATGATTTTGCCAATTTTGGTGTTTTGAGGCTTTCGGTAAGTTTATTTTTCCACTTTGCACTTCTGATACTTCATAAATTGGTCATCTTTGAAAACAGTAGCTCTCTTCTGTTATTTTGTTTGTACTATACCAAACTTAATCATATGCTTATGATGGTTTCTGACTGATATGATTTGCGTAAGGACAAAGTGTAGTACAGTTTGATACTTTATAGCACAACAGTCATTTGGTAGCCAACTTAAAAAAAGTTGATGAAATTCATATCTACTTAAGGATATTTGGAAAGCAATGAAAATAGAAATAATCATTCTCGGAAACCTATAGTCTGAATACAACCCCTACTAAAAAATTTTTGGAGTCCTGGTGTGGCGCTGTGTGTTAATGCGCTGAACTGCAAGGTTGGAGGTTCAAGCTCTCCAGCCACTCCTTGGAAATCCTATACAGGGTTTCTTTGGGTTGGGACCAACTTGATGACACATAACAACCAACAGAAAACAGTAAGTTCAGTGCTTTTCTTTCAAGACTTTTTCCATGGCTCTGTAGGACAAGCATTGCACCACAGGGTCAGTTTGAACTGCAAAGTCGGAGGTTCAAGCCCATCAGGCACCAGCAAGGTCTGTTTGCACTACAAAGGTCAGGAGTTCAAACTCACCATATGCTGCTTGGATACCAGGTTGCTCTGAGTTGGAATCGACTCAGTGACACGTAACACAATAATCCTCGTAGGGAGTATGCAGTGGATCTGTAGGGTAAGCACTGGACGCTGAGACATAAGATTAACAGTTTGAACCCACTAACTGTTTCCTGAGAGAAAGATGAACCTTTCTGCTCCCAGAAAGATTTACAGCACTTAACAACCATCCTCATAGGTGTTCCATGCACTTTAGTTCATTATTAGCAATACTGACCAGTCATATTGTTGGGCTACACATATTTTATTTGCATAGTCATACCCAATCATGTTTTGAGAGTTACAAGACCAGGCATGGCTAGCAGGCCATATTAGTAATTCACAGCACCACATTGATATATATTATATTTTCATTTTCATTCAGTTCAAATTATCTTGTAGTTCCCCTTTGGATTTCTTCTTTGACCCGTAAGTTCTTAGAAGAGTTTTTACTTTATAAATACTTGAGAATTCTCCAGAGATGTTATTCATTACTAATTTAATTTCACTATTGTCTAAAACATGCTTGGATCTTTCTATACTTATTAAAGCTCATTTTAAGGCCCAGAATATGGTGTTTCTTGGCAAGTGTCCCATGTGCATTAGAGAAAAATTTGTCTTCTGCAGTGAAGTATAAGCAGTCCCTAGATTACAAGAGTCCCATTCCTAAATCTGACTAAGTTGAATTTGCTCGAGTCAGAATCGATAGTTTGTATCTAATGTCAGTCAGGTGTTTGTCTAAGTACATAATTTATGTTGTTGTTGTTCTTAGGTGATGCCCAGTTGGTTCTGACTCATAGTGACTTTGTGTATAACAGAATGAAACAATGCCTGGTCCGGCGCCATCCTCACAGTTGTCATTATGCTTGAGTCCATTGCTGCTGCCGTTGTATCAGTACATTTCCTTGAGGGTCTTCCTCTTTTTTTGATGACAATCTCCAGGCACTAGTCCTTCCTGATAATATGTCCAAAGTATGACACAAAGTCTTGCCATGCTGGCATCTAAGGCGCATTCTGGTTGTACTTCTTTCAGTACGTATTTTGTTTGTTCTTCTGGCCATACTTTCAATATTCTCCTCCAAAACCGTGTCTCAGATACATCAATTTTTGTATGGTCTTCCTTATTCATTATCCAATGGTCACATGCATATGAAACTGTTGGAAATACCACAGCTTGAGTCAGGTGCACTTTTGCCATCAAACTGACATCTTTGCTCTTGAACACTTTAAAGAGGTCTTGCCTAATGTAATACATCATTTGATTTCTTGACTGCTGCTTCCGTGAGTGTTAACAGTGGATCCAAGCAAAATGAAGTCCCTAATAACTTAAATTTTTCTCCTGTTATCATGATGTTATTTCCTGGTCCAGTTGTAAAGATTTTTTTCTTTACATTGAGATGCAACCCATACTGAAGCCTGTGGTCTGATCTTCATCAGTAAGTATCATAAGTCCTCTTCACTTTTTGCAAGCAAAGTTGTGTCATCTGCATGTTACAGGTTGTTAATGAGTCTTACTCCAATCCTTAGGTCATGTTCTTCGTCATATAATCCAACTTCTCCAATTATTTGTTCTGCATACAGTGAAAGGCTGGCTACCTAACCCAAACCATGGTGTTTTCAGCAACCTCATATGCATGCGAAAGCTGGACAGTGAATAAGGAAGACCGTAGAAGAATTGATGCTTTTGAGTTATGATGTTGGGGGAGAATATTGAAAGTGCCATGGGCTGCCAAAAGAACCAACAGATCTGTGTTGGAAGAAGTGCAGCCAGAGTGCTCCTTAGAGGCCAAGATGGCCAAACTTTGTCTCTCATACTTCGGACATATTGTCAGGAGGGACCAGTCGCTGGAGAAGGATATCATGGTTAGGAGGATGGAGGGTCAGAGAAAAAGAGGAAGACCCCCAATGATTTGGATTGGCTAAGCGGCAGTGTCGATGGACTCAAGTGTGGCAGTAGTAGTGAGGTTGGCCCAGGATTGGGCAGTGTTTCATTCTGTTGTGCACAGGGTCACCATGGGTCGGTACCGACTCAATGACACCTGATAACAGCAAACTGGATATTTGTTGGACTCCTGGTGTGGTGATGTAGGATCACCACTGCACTGCAAACCACGAGGTCCTCAGCTCACACCCACCACTGCTCCTCGGAAATCCTTTGTTGTTAAGTACCGTGGTGTGGGTTCTGACTCATAGCGACCCTCCACAGGGTTTCCAAGGCTGCAAATCTTTACTGGAGCAGAAAGCCTCATCTTTCTCCCGTGGAACAGCTGGTAGTTTCCAACTGCGGGCTTTGAGGTTAGCAGCCCGATTCGTAACAACACTACCGGAAATCCTATACAGGATCTCTATTAGTCAGAACTGACTCAGTGGCACTTAACAACATTGGATATTTTGTAACCTGGGGACTGCCTGTCAAGTTGATGAAGATGTTTAAATCTTCTACATCTTTAGTGATTCTGTATACATGTTCAATATTACTGAGAACCAAACTCACTGTTGTTAAGTCAATGCTGACTCAGAGCGACCCAGTAGGATAAAGTAGAACTGCCCCTTTGGGTTTACAAGACTGTAAATATTTACCGAAAAAGACTGCCACATTTCCCTCCAACCGAGTAGCCGGTGGGTTCAAAATGCCGACATTTCAGTTAGCTGTTAGGTGCCATCCATTCAGTTCCGAATCATAGTGACCCTGTATAGGGTTTCCAAAGAGTGGCTGTGGGTTTGAACCACCAACCTGTGGTTAGCAGTCCAGTGTTTATCCTGTAGCATCACATCAGTTAGTACTTAATTGCTTAATCACTTTGCCATCAGAGCCTCATAAGGATTGAGACAGGTATTGAAATCTGACTATAACTGTGAATTTGTATTCAGATAACAACAATCCTGGTAATGGTTTTGTGGTGATAGGAACTGAGCATCACTTGACTGTCCTGTTAACAATCAATCCTTATTGTTCTTGCTCCTCTCTAGGAGCCAGCCCCCCTCTTTGACCTTGCGATGCTCGCTTTAGACAGTCCTGAGAGTGGCTGGACAGAAGAAGATGGCCCCAAAGAAGGACTTGCAGAATACATTGTTGAGTTTCTCAAGAAGAAGGCTGAGATGCTTACAGACTATTTTTCTTTGGAAATTGATGAGGTGTGACTGCCTTTCTTATTCCATGTTACAGTCTTCAGATATGAGACAAATTCTACAGATGATCCAAGATTAGGATCGAAGGGTGGGCGTTTGTCAGCAGCAGCCTGTGATTTACCCACTGACCGCTGCATTTCTAGGTTACCCAGCTCTTCTCTGGTTCACTCAGTCTCCTTGTTTGCAGGGTAAAGGACTCCGGCAGCAGGAGAGCTGAAGCCTACTGTGCCTGCAGGCTATAGCAGTGAGATTAATCACAGCACTGTTCTCCTTTTTATTCCTTTTAGCCCCTTGATCCTTTAGGGTTTTCCATCTTGATTAAGTTCTTTGAAAAGTGAACAGATCCAAAGAAAAGGTTATTCTGCTACATAGAAGGACAGAAAGCTCCTTTTAAATGGTTAGCTTAGTTCTCTGACCTCCAGTGTCCATTCAGCACCAGTTCCCCCAGAAAGGTGGGGATGAGACCAAAGCTAGGAGGAAGCACTAGAGAAAAGGGATTTGTTTTAAGTGCATTATTTCTTGTCCCGGCTTTTTCCCCCCACAAGCAGGAAGGGAACCTGATTGGATTACCCCTTCTGATTGACAACTATGTACCACCTTTGGAGGGACTGCCCATCTTTATACTCAGACTGGCCACTGAAGTAAGTGATCTGGCCGATGCCAAACGTATGGGTGGTGTGGGCATGTGCCGGAGGGAAAGGGCCCGTGGCCAAGTCTTCATGTGGAATGATAAACATAAAAGCAATTTAAATCACTGAAAGGCCTCCCCCTTAACTCCCCTTTAGCAGTATTCAGCTGTTCAGTTTACAGCTTTATTTCCTAAAAATTCATGTTAGTTTTTTTTTTAGCTTTAACCTCTATATAATAATGAGAATGTATTTTAAAGCACATGCCATACTGAGGTAATGAATTCTCTGTTTGGACCAGGTGAATTGGGATGAAGAAAAGGAATGTTTTGAAAGCCTCAGTAAGGAATGCGCTCTGTTTTACTCCATCCGGAGGCAGTATCTATGTGCTGAGTCCGCCCTCTCTAGCCAGCAGGTATGGTGCTGCACATTGGCACCCCAGGGCTGGGACAGGCCCTCACACAACATTTAGATGAAAACTTTACCATCTCAAAAACCCATGGATTGCACTGCACATTAACAAACTTACAAACTGTGTTCAGCTTTTATTCATGAGTTTTCTGTTGGTTAGAAGTTACCTCCAGAGTGATCTCAAAAAACTGTCAAATTTTAAAACACAAGCCATCATAGTAAGAAATTGAAGGTTAAGTTGAGATTATCCATGTCTCCCGGTGTTGATCCTTAAATATGTAGCCAGTCTTGAGATTCTGGCTGTCAACCCCATCTAATCGGGTTTTACTTTACATCTGACAGAGCCATACCAGTAAAACAAAGCTGCACAAAGGTTAGAGCCCCACCTCTTCTTATGGAAGCTCTGCTTGACAACACAAAAATAGCCTGGATTCGCCTAATGTTTGGTGCTACTTTTTCTACTCAAATGTCAATGCTTTTCAGTTAACAGTTATTTCCCAGGGATGTGGAAGGAGGAGTTAAAATTGCATAAGAATCAAAGGATAGCCAGCCACTTTGCATACGACCAACTCACTGCTTACAGTTACTCTCTCAGGTTAAAAGATATTCTCCAGTTCTTCAGGTGAGGAAACTGCAGAGCAGTCAGCATGCTCAGAGCCTGTAGGTGGTAGAGCAGAGATTCAGTCCTAGGTCCTGGTGTCCAAAGCCCCTATAGACAGATGGCCATACGTCAGTTAAGGCAGTAGGACAGCACATTCACCAAATAGTACCAAGTTGATTAGGCAGGTTTTCCTCAGGAAATGCTAAGAAAGATGAAAAAGAACATATTCTTATATTCAAGAAAGCTAAGGCTTAGAGGGAGGAGAGAAAGGGTAGAACAAAATCCTCATTTTTATATTCCTTCCTTGCCATGGAGCTTTTTGGATATCAGGGCATTGTTAAGTTCCTAGATTTAGTGATAAGTTAGGAGTGTACTTCCCACCGCTGTCTTTCAAAGATTCACAATTTTAGATCCTCCTGTTACACTCTACCTGGGTAGGAATCAGGGGTTTCATGGGATATAGACCAGTAAGAGCTGTGCTTTCTTTTCCATCTGAAAAACCTTACTTGCTGTGGTGTTACTGTGGGATCCATATGCCTAGTGCATATCAGCCAGGAAGCCAGCATACACTGCAGTGTCAACAGGGAGGCTTTAGGTATTCAGACTTGATGTTTCTCACATCCAGCTTGTTTTCCAGAGTGAAGTGCCTGGCTCTGCTCCAAACTCCTGGAAGTGGACTGTGGAACACATTGTCTATAAAGCCTTCCGGTCACATCTTCTGCCTCCTAAACATTTCACAGAAGATGGAAATATCCTACAACTTGCTAACCTACCTGATCTATACAAAGTCTTTGAGAGGTGTTAAACGTGGAGGTGTTTATGGACTGTGTTCTTTTGTATCTTGGTATTATTAGGATTTAAGGTTGAAGACTCATTTGCTGTCTTACTAGTTAAATCGTTTTATTCATGGTGAATTGTAAATAAGTTCTCAAATGAATCTTAACAAGACTTAATTTCATTACACTTGAAACTGTTTCTAAAATGTTCAGTACCTCGTATAGCACACTGTGGGTTAATGCACGGGACTGCAGTCAGTTTTTGAACTGTAAGGCCGACAGTTCAGGCTCACCAGCCAGTCCTTGGAAGCCCTTTACAGGGTCACAATGAGTCAGAACTGACTTGGGCACTCAACAACAACAAAATATACACTTTATTATGTTGAAAAATCCTAAAAGTAGCTTGAAAGCCCCCTGAGTATCTGATGAAATGTTGTGCAGGCACCTCAAGAAGCCCAAGATAATGTTAGAATTCTTTGCATATGGTGGATTCTTTCTTGATAATTTTTAAATTATCAGGCTGTATTGTTTCTTAATGTAGGTTGAGAGACATTCACTGTGGAAAAAAGTTTGGTCAATACCAAAGATAAATAACTCTTCTTGTGCTGTTGAGTTGATGCCTACTCCAGTGATCCTGTGTAGGGTTTTCAGAGTTTTTAAGTCTTTATGGGAACAAAAAAACTCGTTTTTCTCCTGAAGTTCAGTGCCATCATGCTCTCAAATATTTATCTAAAAAAATAAACAGAAGCAGCACAAACATTTCTTATTAAATTATACAAAAGGGCAGAAGAAGTGGGGCTCAATCCCAATCTGACCCCACTGCCCCACCCTGGACTACTGCTGTCTGAGAGGAAGGGATCTAAGGGAGATCTAGGGATCATGCAGAATAGAAATGGAACAGGAACTGAGGCTGGGGTATGCAGAGATTGGGTAAGAGAGGTCCCCAATTTATTCTTAATGAAACAAAAAGATTTCTATTTTTGAGTGAAGAAAATGGTCCTTATCCAGTCAATGCTATTGACTGAGATTTTAAGTTAGCCCACATTGTTAATGGCTATGAATACTACTGACTTATACATTTGTTTCTAGATGATCTTGCTTTGAAGTATGATATACTAAGAAACTGCCAGTGTCAAAATAAGCTACCTTGATAATAACCTGCATTAATAGGGATGGAATAATTCAAGCACGGGCAGTTAGAGAAGTACAGAAAATTCTTTCGGTTGAGGCCACTTCAGGAACTCTGGTAGCGTGGTGGTTACAAATCAGGCTGCCAATCTTAAGGTCAGCAGTTTGAAACTACCAGCTGGTCCGCAGGAGAAAGATGAGGCTTTCTGCTCCTGTAAAGTAAAGATTTACAGCCTCAGAAACCCTGTACAGAGTCGCTATGGGTCGAAACCGACTCGACAGCAATTAACAACAACTAAAGAAATACTTCTAGGGAAGACACATATTTGTTGTGCCACAGAAGGGGGAAGTCCAAGTTCTAACAGAATTAACAAAATGTAGAAAAGTGAATCTCAGAAGTGACCGTCCATAAGCCTTGGAAGAGTCACAAAATGAGTGACTGGATGGGGAGGAGAACGACAGTCTTTCAGGGCCCCAAGGGCTGGAACACAGTGTGTTGAATAGATGTGAGATTTTAGGATACATCAATACATCACACCCACCCAACTGTTGGATCGAACTATTGCTACTTCTAGAAAGACTCAATGGATTTCATCTCAACCCAGATTAGTTTCCATACTTTAAAAACAGAGGCCTACACTAAATTACTTGAAAGGAGAGTTACTAGAGATTCTATTCACTTTTGAGTTAAATTTATTATCTAGTTGCAAATCTAGTTTATTTTATATATCCTTGATTCATTAGATTTTCCCCAGTATTTTTTCTGTATAAACACTAAAAAGTACAGTAATCATTTCCATTAAATTGTCTTATTCTGAGTACAAAAGAGAATCAGAAATCCTACAGAGTGAAACATACCATCTTCATAGATAGGAAGACAACAGCTTCAAAAAGTTGGTGGGAATTTTTCAATGAATTTTTTGACGTCCCCTCACGTAAGGAAATCCATCAACATTCTTTAAAGACATGAAAAATTTGCAACTAACTATCTATGGAATAGAAAGAAGCCCCTGATAGGTAAAGCATTATTGAAGAACAAAGCAGGATAAGAAGCCTCGCCGTACCTGATCTCAAAACTTGCTATATGAGGCAGCTTCAAAAAGGTCTTGAAAAAGCTTCATTATCTTTTAATTCTACCTTTTCACTAGCTTTCTACAATAGACATAGAGACCAATGGGATAGAACCAAGAGCAGAAATGGGGAAGAGGTCAATCTCTGTATCAAATGGTAATGGAAAAACTGGATAGTCATACAGGCAAACTGTGTGTTAACTGGACTGCAAGGTTGGTTTGAACCACAAGATTGGCAGTTAAAACTTCCCCAGCTGCTCCTCAGAAACCCTATACAGGGTTACTGTGAATCGGGACTAACCTGATGCCACTTCACAACGGTCAGCTTCACAGTAGTCTGTTTAAGCCCATGTTCCTATGTTGCAGATACTGTATTGTCAATATATTTCATTGAGAGTATTGGTCTTTTTCAATAATCCACTACCAAACATGATATCCTTTTCCAGGAACTAGACCCTCCTGTTTACATATCCAGAGGACATGAGATGAAGTCTTGCTGTTCATACATGTATTCTAGTTTTACTTGTTTCAACACACATTTGTTCATTCTACCAGCAGTGTATGGTATATTCGGTATTCTTCTTCACCAACACCATAATTCAAAGTCATCGATTCTTTAGCCTTTCTTTTTCTTTGTCCAGCTTTTGCATGCATATGAGTTCATTGAAATACCACGGCATAGGTTAGTCTTAGTCTTCACAGTGATAACTTTGGTTTGGGGTTTTTTTCCCAACACTTTAAAGGGATTGTTTTTTGGCCCTTATAACTACATCATTTCCTAACTGCAACCTCCATGGACACTGACTGTGGATCTAAGTAAAATGAAATCCTTGACAACTTCAAGAATTACTTACTGCTTATTGATCCAATTGGTAGGATTTCTGTTTTCTTTACATTGAGATGTAAGCCATACTGAAGACTGTAATCTTTGATCTTTACCAATAAGGCTCCAAGTCCTCTTCACCTTTAGCTTGTATCATCTGCATACTGCTCGTCCCAGGTTCTTAATGAATCGTCCTCCAGTCCAGATGCTTCTTGAATTACGAGCTCTGGTAGCGTAGTGGTTAAGAATTGGGCTGCGAACCTTAAGGTAAGCGGTTCGAAACTACCAGCCGCTCCGCGGGAGAAAGATGAGGCTTTCTACTCCCGTAAAGATTTACACCCTTGGAAACCCTGTACAGGGTCGCTATGGGTTGGAACCGACTCGATGGCACTTAACAACAACATAGATTGAATAAGTATAGTGAAAGGATAAAGGATACAACCTGGATGGACAGCTTTTCTTATTTTAAACCATTCAGTATCCCTTGTTCTATTCACACAACTGCTTCTTGTTCTGTGTTCCACATGAGCACAATTAAATTTGTTAAGATCCACAGTCACTTGTCTTTGTAAAGTTAATGGAACACAGGTTAAATATTTTTCTGGTATTTTCTGCTCTCAGCCAAAATTCACCTGATATCAGCAAGATATAGTCTCATGTCCTCTTCTGAATTCAGCTTGAATTTCTGAAACTTCCCTGTTGATATACTGCTGCAATAGTTTTTAAATTATCTTCAGAAAAATTTTACATGTGTGTGATGTTGTTTGATCGTTTCCATATTCTGTAGGGTCATCTTTCTTTGGAATGGCCACAAATGTGGGTTCTCTTCCAGTTGCTTGGCCAGGTAGCTGTCTTAACAAGTTTCCTGGTATAACTAGTAAATGGTTCGAGTAACGTATGAGTTTATTGAAACAATTCGATTGGTATTCTGTCAATTCCAGTAGCCTTGGTTTTTGCTAATGCTTTCAGTATAGCTTAGGAATCTTCCTTCAGTACCACCAGTTCCTGATCATGTCACACAGCTGAACCCTGAGCACTGCTTTTTGTTACAGAAACTCTAGTCCTTTCATTGTTTTTGTTTGTTTGTTTGTCAATTTTTTCTGTGCATTGAGTGAAGGTGCTCATTTGTAGGTAATTTTTTTCCCGCAAGCTGCTATCAGGAGTCTTTCCTTGTCTTTGGTTTCAGATAGTTTGATTAAGATGTGTTATAGTGATTTCCTTGTATGCTTATCTTCTTGTCTTTCATGAAGTTAAGTTTTCTTCCAGCAACTCTTGTATTCCAATCACCCTCATTATGGCTTTCTTCGGATATTTTCATTCTTTTTCCTAATTTTCCAATTTAGCATATGAGTATAAAGGCATTAATTTATCTTCAAGCTCACAAATTTGGGGTCCCATTGCTTCAAATCTACTCCTTTACCTTTTCAACGTTTTGCCCATATTTGAAATCTTAGTATCGATCTTCTGGATATCTACTTGCATATTTTGTATTGTTTTGAAATTTGCATATATTTTTGTCTATTCTTGTTGGTTTCCTGAATTTTTCTTAATTTTTTTCTTGCTTTCCTTGATCTTTTTGTCAGTCCTTTTAAGGTACATACGTATCATTCTTCTGAACTCGTTTCATTTAACTCCATTACCTTGTCTTCTTCAGAAACATTTCCCGGCTTTGCATCTTGGTTCATTTAGCCATTTTGTTTTGTTTCTTCAGGTAAGCTAAAATTTCTGTTGTCTCTGAGACACTGGTGTTATTGTATCTGTATTTAATTGATGATGATGTTTATGTGTTCTTAGGCTCTCACCAACTGTCTCCTGTGGGTGTAGTTAGAAAATTTAAGTGTGTACACCATTCTGCTTGCTGTTCATGCACCTCAGTTTAGTGTGGGTTTCGCTGTTTTTCATTGATTGGGTGCTATAGGAGCTGAGTGTGGTTCTTGCCCCATGGATGGAGCTTCAGAAGGCACAGATATAGTTGGGATGTATGGGCATGGTTGCTGTCTTCTCTTGGGTGGGTGAGAGGAAAATGACCCCTCCCACACAAACACACACAAGAACACTAAGCAGAATAAACAAAGGACCAACATGTAAAGATAAAATACAGAGAAAAAATAAATAGATAAAAACAAGCAAAAGCCAGAAAAAGAATTTATAATTAAAAAGAGAAAAGAGGGACAGGAAAATGGAACTATAGAAGAGGGAAATAAGAGAAAATAAGAGGAAGAAATAAATAACCATAGAGCAGGAAAATGAAAAGAGAGTATAATAAAGATCACAAGGAAAAAAAGAGGAGGGGAAATGAAAAAGAGAAGAAGGGAAAACAAGCAGAGACAGGATAAAATTCAAGGAAATGGAAAAGGTAAGAATAAATGAAATAAAACAAAACACTGAAAGAACCAAATACAAAACCGAAAGGACCAGTGCAGCTGTTAAACCAGAGAGAAAACTCTGGCGGGGGGGTGGGGGTGGGGGTGGGGTGTGTGCTCGTTGCCAAGTCATGGAGTTCACGAGGTAGGTGCAGGAGGGATGAGACAGCAGACTTCCTAGCCTTAGATGTTATCTATGTCCAAGGAACTTAATCCAGAAGTAGTTCATGGAAGCCCTTGATGGAGCTGGTTTCAGAGTTAAGACCACAGAGCTGCTGGGCAGAGTGGCCGGTTATGAGGGTTTCTGCTAAACTAATGCTGGTCTAGAGCCGAGACCACCTGAATGCAGGTACCAAAGCCATACAGCCATCCCTCACCTCACATTAGAATGGCTAAGAACTATGCCTAGAATAAGGGTCTATAGTAGGAACTGATGAGGTTGGAAGCTGGCCACACTTATGGTCACCAGGGGAGCATGGGAAGAACAAAGGAATCACACCTTTCCCATCATCTGTGTCAATCTGCTTTTCCTTCTGTCACTTGATGGCTGCATCATGCCTGACCAGCTGTTCACCAGTCAGTCTCCCTCTTTTGCCATCCCAATCCACTTCTTTAACCTTTCCTCTGAAGTTCAGCGTCTGAGGATTTTCATCTTTGTTTCATTTCGTCTCTCATTACTTTGTTGTAAAGGGCCCATGTAATGAGTCTGCCTAATCCGCCATCTTGCCAAAAGTCTTCCATCTTCCTCTATTGTTTAATATTTTTGCCCATAAAATCCTTCAATATTGCTTTTTTTCTTCAGTTTTTTCAACTAGAGAAAAGCCAAGTATATTTATCCCTTGTGGCTTTTCTCATTCCCAAGTCTTTGCATATTTCATGATAATACTTTTAATAGTGTTCTAGAGCCACTCTGCAATATTCTGCTCAGCTCTTTTATCTCCTTTTCACTACAGCTATGCTACAATCGAGGGCAAATTTTAGAGGTTTTTCTGATAGCCATTTTGATCTTCTCTTGATCTTTTGCCTTCTTCAGCTCATTAGTGTTCGGTACATCAAATCTACTCTTGGGATGGTTTCTAGACTTAGATGAGATCTCAGGTTTGGACTTTGGCTCTAGCCATGTTTTAACTGATGATAAAAAGTTTCTTTATCCTTTCCACAAATGTAGTCAGTTTGACTCTTTGTGTGTTCCATCTGATGAGGTCCACATATATAGTTGTTATTTATGTTGTTGGAAAAAGTTATTTGCAATGACTATCTTGCTACTCTCATTCTACAAGCACTCATTGGCATCCTTTATCTCACCACAGCCATATTTTCCAACTGCTGATCCGTCTTTGCTTTCAACTCCAAAAGAGTAAAACAAGAACCTACTGGGAAAAAAAGAGGACTAATCACTAAAATTATAGAAAACATTAACACCCAAACCACAAAAAGGCAAACAATACAAATGAAAAATGGGTAAAGGACATGAACACTTTACCAAAGAAAACATTCAAATACATAAAGAGATGCACAAGATGATTAGCCATTACTCATCATCCACTGCCACTAAGTCGATGATAACTCAGACTCATACAGCATCTCCTTATAGGGTTTTTGAGACTGTAAATCTTTATAGGAACAGAAAGCCTCATCTTTCTTCCACATAGAAGCTAGTGGGTTTGAACCACCAATTTACAAGCATTGATCTAACCCACAGTGCCACCAGTGCTCATTCCCCATTAAAATCTACTGCCATTGTGTCAGATTCTGACTCGTAGTGACCCTATATGTAGTTTCCGAGGCTGTGAATCATTAGGGGAGCAGAAAGTCTCACTTTTATTCAGTGGAAAGTTTGATGGGTTTGAACTGCTGACTTTAGCAGTCCAGTGCTTATTGTACAGGATCACCAGGTCTCCAATTCGAGATGCAAATCAAAACAGCAATGAGATGGCATTGAACTCCAGCAACAGTAGCAGTGATGAAAAACCAGAAAACAAATGTTGACAATGGTATGGAGACTGGGCCTCTCCTACACTGCCGGTAGGATTATAAAATGGTACCATCACGGTGGAAAATGGTGTGGTGCTTCCTGTGAAAGTTAGAGACAAAGATACCATGTGGTATCCTTACTCCTGCAAGGAGTTCTGGTAGCATAGTGTTTATGAGTGGGGCTGCTAACCTCAAAGTCAACAATTCAATACTACCAACCATTCTGAGGGTGAAAACTGAGGCTTTCTGCTTCCATGAAGATTTATAGCCTTGGAAACCCTATACAGGGTCACAATGAGTCAGAACCGACTCCACGGCACACCACCATCACAAAGAAGATCCATAACATACACGAATATATGTACACTCATGTTCTCACAGCAGTATTTACAACAGCAAAAAGATGGAAACCACCTAAGTGCCCGTCGTAGATGGTGAAACACGTGGTAAGTACATCAACATTGGAATACTATGCAACACTGAAAAATAACAATGAATCCATGAAACATCACACAATATAGATGGACCTGGAGGACACTATGCTGAGTAAAATAATTCTCTCACAAAGGGGCAAATACTGTGTAAGCCTACTATTATAAAAAGTCAAGAAGAGGTTTACACACCTAATTACCATGGAAAATCCTTAACACGATAGCAGAATGTATTAATTTGGTTGAAGGGAAAAGCAGTGCACTATTAAGACAAAGGACTAGTGGAGTACCTGAACCTCAGCCTGCAGTCGCCTGGTGCCTGGTTACAGCTACTGAGCACTGAGATGAGGTGACACTAGGAGATTCTGGACAGAGTGGCAGAAAAATGTAGCACAAAGTTTAAAAATCATACAAAAGGTCAGATTCACTGGTCTGATGGGGACTGGTGTGCCTGCTCCCTCCCACCCCACCCAAGACTATGGCCCTGAAGACACCCTTCAAACCTTGAACTGAACCCCCTCACGTAGATAACCTGTTAGCACGTGATGGGTTTACAAAGTGAACAGTAACATCTGTGAGGAACATGTTCCTCAGAAAAATCAACCATGAGACCAAAATAAAAGACCACAGGACAGCATTTGACCAAAAAGTAGAAGGTAGGATGGGGTAGAAAAGAAAGAAAAATGGGGAACCCACGGGAGAAGTGGAAAGAGTGGTGGTATATTGAGGGGACAGTGGACAATGTCACAAACTGTATAAACTGTTCCAAAAGGGCAACATTTGTTCAAAAGCAGAGAAGGCAGGGTGCGACAAGGCAACTGACTGAATGGAAATGGGGCACACTGTGAGGACGGTGACCAATGGCATGGAATCATCTGAAAGTACTGAATGGCAAACTCATTTGCTGTGTGAACTCATCTAAAGTACAATAAAATGTTCCAACAAAATGATCTTCTACATAACAGTCATGTTGTCATGTGCCCTTGAGTAGATTCTGACTCATATAAGGACAGAGTAGAATTACCTCTTATGGTAATGGCAGAGGAGATGAGAAAGGGATGTGGTCCCATGGTTTATTTTAAAGGCTCCTGTAGCAAAAAGAATGTATCAGTAGCCAATTTTGATCAGCAGAAGGATGTGTTTAATAGAATATTGAGGCAGATTTTATATCTGCCTGCCCTGCCCTATTCCACCCTCCCTCATAGGGTTTGTCTGAGGTTTCATTATGTCCACAAATAAGCAGCAAATGGAATATTTGATAAAGTACAGCACAGTTTATATTGAAGAACCCTACTCTTCCTTTAAGAGTATTAGGCCTTGGACTTTCCCTACCCCATGCAATAAAGCAAGTTTTATATACACTCCCCGTATCTTTTTTTCTAACATTTTCTTATATAAATTTAAATATTTTACAAAACAAAGGCTTTTTCCTCCAAACATATAAATTGGAGTGAAAGATAAACTCCACACCCATGAACTTGTTTCCTCACTTAAACATAAATGCTGTCTGGTAATAAGGGTAAACGTCTTTTGTCCACTGGTGATCACTGATGTCTGAACAGCATCGTGGAGAAGGCACTTGTGTTTCCTGACGTCTCCAACAAGTGTCCCAGTGAGCACTCAGAACGGCTGTCCTCCAGAACCATGCAGAGACCTGGTGCCCAGTCACTGAGGCAGCAAAGGGGAGATGGTGAGTAAACTTGATTCTAAAATTATCCAAAAATTAAAAACTGCATGGACCAGTTCTTACTCTAGAATCAAACAACAAACCAAAAAACCCGAGTGTTCATTCATGAAGATTCAAACCTGTTTCATTTTCTCATAAATTATAAAATACAAAGGTGGCTTATACTGATGACAAAATTCAAACAGTACTGAAAAGGGGTTTGTGTTAATGGACAAAAAGTCAATCTCTGTGGGCAGGGCCCCAAGGAGCAGCACCCAGGTCAAATGGCAGCTTCCCTACTGCTGGGCCAGAAGTGCTGTTCTATTGGCCTTCATCTTTTCCAGCCGCTTGGCCAGGTGGTTGTTGGTCATCTCCATCTCCTCAATCTTGTCCAGTGCTGTCCGTAACTGAAGACAAGAAAGAGCTCAGTCACTTCATGTGACCAGACACAAAGCACATCCCCCCCACCCCACCTACTAGAGGTGTTCAAAGGAGCTCTGGTTGAACACAGTGGATTACAAGGTGAGCTGGGCTGCTAACCCCCTTGAGGACAATAGTTTGAATGTATCAGGGAAAGAGGAGGCTTAAACATTTACAGCCTTGGAAACCACATTCAGGGTCATTGAGTTAGAACCAACTCAGTAGCACACAATTCAAACAGAGGTGCTGAAGGGTCCTGGTGTGCTGTAGGATAAGCACTGAACTACTAACTACAAGATGGGCAGTTCAGACCCACCAACCACTCCTTGGCAATCTGATACAGGGTCACTATTAGTCAAAGCAGAATCCATGACACTTAGGAACAACGGTGGTGGTGGTGGTGGTGACATGCCATGGAGTCGGTTCCGACTCATAGCGACCCTGTACAGGGTTTCTGAGGCTGTAAATCTTTACGGGAGCAGAGAGCCTCATCTTTCTCCCGTGTAACAGCTGGTAGTTTCAAACTGCTGACCTTGAGGTTTGCAGCCCAATTCGTAACCACTACGCTACCAGAGCTCCTTAACAACAACAGTAGAGGCATTAAATACTGAGGGCTATTTATTTGCTTAAATACTAAGAGGTACACAGAAGTCAGAGAAGCAGACCTGATGTGATCTTAAAATACCCTTTTTCTTACTGTCTAACTGACCAAAACATAAAAGTAAACGGAATTCCTGTATAGGTCAAAGTTAACACATAAAACAGTGAGTTCACTGCTGTTTCCCTAAGATGAGACCTGATTTAAATTCCTCATATAGCAAAAAAATTTATTTCCAAACAATTGTTTTCTTTTCAGGAATGCACCCCAAGTACCTCTCGTTGTAGCTTCCTCTTTTCTGCTTTTAGTTCATCTTCAACTTTCTCAGCATTCTCAGCAGCAGTTTTATATCTCAACACTTGTCCCTCAAGTCGACCAATCTGCAAATAGGAGAGCACAGGCCTTTGGTATTGGGTGTGAGGAACAGTCACTTTTTTTTTTTTGTAACGGGGATGGAAATACAATGTCATTACAAATTCCAAGTAATCTAACAAGTCCCCTTAGGGTGAGTCATAGGCCCTCTCAGTACCCAATTGCTATTTATAAATAAAGAAATGTCCCCACAGAGAATTACAGCTAAAGTCAATATAGGGCCAATTTCCCATGTTACGTTTTATGATAACCGTATTGTTTAAATGACAAACTACCATCATAGGAGACTCACTGAAAAGAAACAGTTTTAGATGTCTTTTGAAATGCACAGTAAGGGATTTTAGTTTTAAACTACCATCTTCTTGAAATAAATACATATAGAAAATATACAGTTTCCTTTGTTTTTACAGGAAACAAATGGCTAAGGAGTTCCCACTGGCTTTTCCATTTTCACAAAGAGTTTTTATAGAGATTTAACTGCAAAGACAAGCCCACAAACACCCAGGCACTCATGAGGTTAGCCACTTAAATGCAGGAAGTACAAAAGGACTTACGCTTTGCTCCAAGGTGGTTATATCCTGTTCAGCTTTTGAAAGCTTAAATTTGTAATCACTAATTTGTCTATTGGCATCTCCTACAACAAAAGATAGTAAATTACCTCTCAAAGTGCAGGTGTGAGTCACCAGGCAGTGAGGCCCTCTAAGTACAGGAGAAGACCTTAATGTCTAAAACGGCAAACCACACATGCATACAACACAATCATGACAACATCTTCTGACAGCACAGGTTCTAGACTGTGACACAGAAGCTCTATCGAACACTTCTGTTGCAACAGTACCCTCATGAGTCAAGAATTAAAAGAAAACTCACCCTTCACCTCTTGTAATGGTGGTGGTGGTGGGGGACCCTGCCCATGCAACAGCAGTCCCTCTCAGAGCCCACAGAGGCTCCCTGAACCCAGCCCTAGACCTCCACCTCCCCCAGGCTCTGCTTCTGCTGTCCCACACCTCAAGTGCCCTCTTCTCCCCATTTCACATTTACACTTTCACCTTCAAGGAAGTATGTAACTGTCACTTCCTTCATGGCTCTCCTTATTTCATCCCAACTTCTCCTTCACTTAGAGCATTTACTGTGTATTCTCTTTTATGACATTTATCATGCTTTCCTAAACTGTATATACACACACACACACACAGAGAGAAGGAGAAGGACCCTATCTCAGACTTTTGGACTCTACCTTTTTACCTTACCAAGTGCTTTGTATATGGTGTTAAGGTCAATTCTTTGCTGAATTAAGCTGCAATAAATGCTTTTTTATAACATACTGTAATAATGTATTATGAATGGATGTCATTCATTAAATATATATAAGACCTAACAAGTAAATCACTTAAAGTGACAAGTTTAAAAACTACGGGTAAGATAAAATTCCCTCTAGCAACCCAAATTTAACAAGACTTCCACTCTGAAATGATCATGGGTAGGAATTATAAAACTTGCATGAGATAAACCAAATCAAACTCACTAAACCAAAAATTCAAATGACCTAACTTACAGTCCGGAAGTCTTTTCTATGTAACTCAATTCTGAACACAGAGGGATAAGGGGGGGAAACCATTAATAACCAACATTTTTTAAAGTCTTCCCTTTCTGTGGGTGGGTGGGGGTGAAGGAGGGTGCTGCATGAGTGGGAGCTTATAAAAAAAGATAGCACATAAACATGGGAAAGGACGCTGTCAGGATGAAAAACGTATTTCAGGATTTGCAAAAGATTCCTAGAAATCGCTCTGCCCAGAAGAAGAAGAGCAACAATGCTTACTCCTCACTCCAATGCATACAAGCTAGAAGGAGCCTGTCCTCACCTACAGTACTGATGAGAAATGCTTTCCTGGACTATCCAAGGCCTAACGGATCATTGTGCCATAGCTCAGACTCCAAGCCTGTTTGCAATCCCAGTGCTGGGCCACAGCCTGCACACAGCTAGGAACTGGCCAGTCCCCTAGTACCTACTCTGCATTTCAATGAACTGCAAATCAGAGCCATTCTGGAGTCCAGCCAGGTCACCCACTGTGCCATCATTCCTGGAGCACTTCTGTCTTTCTTCCTCCAACTGCAGCTTCAGTTTTCTAATCTGAAATGAAAATACAAGCTCATCAGCAATTTCCAGATCTGAAATAAAGGAGGCCTATGTGGCACTGTGGGTTAATGCTCCAGAATGCAAAGACTTTTAAAGTACAAGGTCTGCTGTTCAAGCTCACCAGCTGCTCCTTGGAAACCCTATACAGGGTGGCTATAGGTCGGAATCAACTGGATGGCACTTAACAACAACATGGCCAAATGGCTACAAGAGAGAGATCCTCATGAGCCACACAAATCATTCTTTCAAAAACTATTCTTAGTATCTACTATGGAATACACGCTCTTCTGGGTGTGAGAGGTACAGATATATACAGAAATATCAAAAGAAGCAAGCCCCAGGACCATCTGTCCCACTAAAAATAGTCCTATTGTGTTTTCTTGTTAGTGTATGTTTATGGAGGAGTCTTGGTATGGCACTGTAGGGTGAGCACTGGAAAACTACCAAGGCTCACCAGCTCAAACCCACCAGTCACTCCTCAGAAACCCTATACACAATGTTGCTGTGAGTCACAACCAACTCAATGGCACTAACAACAACATTTTTTTTTTTAATGTAGTTCTGGATTAGGAAAACTTAGCAATAGTTGGGGGCTCCAAAATCAAACCAAACTCGCTGCTGTCATTCAGCTGATTCACACTCATAGGTTTCCAAGGCTGTAAACCTCTAAGTGAACAGAGAGCTTCATCTTTCTCCCATGTAGCATCTGATGGGTTCTGAACTGCTGACCTTATCCTATAGCACCACAAGGGCAGAAACACCATATACTGAAAACAAGACAGATAGGAAGTACAATTTGTGTTGACTGCTGAGTCCACTAGTCCTCTATACATCTTCCATCCCAGAATGTAGACAGCTAGGCTTGTATTCTAAGAAGACTAGAAGATCTCTATATATAATTTTCTGGCTAGTCTAAAATAAAACACCAAGAAACTCACATTTTGTTCCCCAAAAAAGGTATGACTGTATCACCCTTCACAACTTCACAGAAAAGATAGCCTAAGGAACTGTTGGAAGATGATTTCCCTAACATCATGAAAGATGAGAAGCTAAACAATCAAGAAGCTGAATGAACCCCAAACAGGCTATATACCCCAAAAGAAATTCAAGACACATTATAATCAAACTCTCCAAAATCAAAGACAAGGACAGAATCCTCAAAGCTTGGGGAAAACAAAAAATTAACAGTAAAGGAAAAATCATGCACACAAGAAGGCAATGGGAAGACATATACAAACTCTGAAAGAAAAAATCAGCCAACCAAGAATCACATACCCAGCACAACTGTCCCTCAAATAGGGTGGCAAAATTAGAACATTTCCAGATAAACAGAAATTAAAGGACTTTTGTAAAAATCCTACCAACTTTACAAAAAAAAATTACTACCAGGAGTCCTTTTGACTCAGAATCAACAATCGACAACAAATGAAGCTTGACATACACAACACCACCACCCAGCTTTTCAATCCCAGATATAAGAATATCCAAAGTAAAAACTAACCTAAAACACTGAAAATACAGAACTAGAGATATTAATTTATAATGAAGACAACTATATAGCAAAAAAGAGGGAAAACTATAGTTACAGACCTTCTAAAAGACTAGGAATTAATGTATATTTCAAGATAAAAACAGACTGTTTAAAACTGGGGAAGTAATAAATTATAGTGTAACCACAAAGAAAATTAATACCATCTTTCACATCAAATCAAGAAAAAAGAAAATCATTAAGATTTTATAAACATTAAAAAAAACAGCAAAAAAGAAACTGACAAGAAAACAGACCAAAAAAAGAACTTACCACAGAAAACTTTGTGGAACAAACAAACCAGCAGCACCATGAAAAAAACAACAAAATGACTGAAATCAGTTCAGATCTATTGATGATAACAATGAAAATCAACGGATTAAAAGCACCAGTCATTGCACCAGTTAAGAGACAGAAAGCAGGATCCTTCAATATGCTATATACAAGAGACACACTTTACACAGAGACAAAAGTAGATTAAAAACCAGAAAAAATATATCAAGCTAATGGCAATAAAAAGTGAACAGGAGTAAAAATATTATTTTCTAATAAAAACAGACCTTAAGGCAAAAACAAACCCAATATAAGAGAAAAATAAGGACATTATCTTATGATTAAGGGGTTTAACTGAATAAGAGGACATAACCAAAATAAATATCTACACTTCCAATGAAAGAGCCTCAAAATACATAAGTCAAACTCTAACAGAACTGAAGAGAGAAAAAAAAAAAAAACTACAATAACAGGAGATTTTAAAATACCACTTTTGATAAAGAAAAGAACAACTACAAAAACAGAAAAAATAAGCAACACATCAACCAATGTGTGTGACCTCGTACATTTATAAAGAGCACTCAACCCAACAACAGCACAACACACATTTTTTTCCAGTGCACATGGAACATTCTTCAGAATAGCACGTTAGGCTACAAAACAAGCCTCAGTATATTTAAAAACACTGAACTAATAATACAAAGCACCTTTTCATATCACAATGCTATAAAATTAGAAATCAACACTAGGAAAATCAAAGCAACAAAATCAAATATATGGAAATTGAGTAACACAAAATTTAAAAGCTACTGGGTAATGGAACAAATAAAAAAAGAACTTTTTAGAAATTCCTGGAATCAAATGAGAATGAAAACACAACATACCAAAACCTTTAAACACAGCAAAAGGAATGCTTATGGGCAATTTATAGCAAAACCAGGACACAGTCAAAATGAACAAAGAACCCAAATCAACACATTTATACATCTCCAACGACTAGAAAAACACTAGCAAGATAAATCTACAGTCACAAAAAATAATTAGAGCAGAAAAAATTAGAAAACAGAAAAACAAGATAAAAGTATCAACAAGACAAGGAGCTGGTTCTTTGAAAGGATTAATAAAATTAACAAATCATTGGCAAATATAACAAAAGAAAAGGAGGAGAATATCAAATAACACACATAAGAAACAAAATGGGTGACACCACAACAGAACCAAAGGAAATAAAAAGGGTAATAGAAGATTATGAAGAACTGTATTCTAATAAATATGAAAATCTAGACTAAAGGGATAAAAACATGACCTACCTAAACTAATATAGAATGAAGCAGAAAACTTGAACAAACCTGTAACAAAAAAGAAATTAATGATGCAATTTAAAATCTCCCAATAAAAAAATGTCAGATGGCTTTACTGGTGAATCTTACCAAACATTCAGAGATGAGTTGACACCAATTTTACTATTCCAGAACATAAGGAAAATGGAAAACTTCTGAATACATTATGAAGCAAGCAAAACCCTCATACTAAAATCAGGCAAAGGCAGCACTAAGAAAGAAAAGTATAGACCACCAAGAGGAAGGATCAGTAATTGGAAAATACGGACTTGGTAATAGAAATGATGCTGAAGATCTGTTGCGTCCAACAATGGCTATACTTTGCAAGCCGCACGGAGAGATCAAACCTGAGTAGGGGTGACAGTAGATTAGAGAAAAAGGAAGACACAAGACACAAAATGAAAATAGTAAAGGTGGGATCAGGTGGGACACAGCACTCTGATGGAGATACTGTGACACTGACCTAGATTCAGCATGTTTATTATTATACACAAATCAAAGGAGTATGCTGGGGGCAGGGAAAAGAGTACAAAAAACATCTGGTGTTGTTGATGCATGCAGTAAGTGGGACTTTATCAGAAGAATGTAGTTGCTAGGGAAACAGAGATAGGGCAGTGATATGTTTTTGCAGACTAAACTGAAGGCCATGGCTGTGTACAAGGAAAGACTTTGCAAATTCCTTATTCCCTGAGGCAGGCTTTGCAAGTTCCTCAGGGACAGTCTAACCTGAGAGCAGCCCGATTTTCTGGACCACAACTGTTTAGTTGCAATCCTTCGGTTAAACTGCCCTCAAGTCTGAGACCTTCAGTCTAGTTGCTTCCAACAGAGCTCGCAGGACAGAATTTTGCAAGATCAATGACGTGTTCATTGCAAATAACATAAAACATAAAAAACAACTATACATAGGGACCTCACCAGATAACATATACAGAGAACAAATTCACTACATCTGAGAGAACAGACAATAGAAGACTCCATAGCATCAGTGAAAACAAGGCCAGAAGCAGACTGTGAAATAGACCATCAATTGCTCAAATGCAAGTTAAGGCTGAAGCTGAAGAAAATTAAAACAGGTCCATGGCAGCCAAAATTTGACTTTGAATATATCTCACCTGAATTTAGAGATCATCTCTAGAACAGATTTGATGCATTAGACACTAATGACCCAAACCAGAAGAGTTGTGAGTTGATATCAATAGTATCATACAGGAAAGAAAGCAAGGAAAAGTTCATGAAAAAAAAGACCAAAATGGATCTCAGAAGAAACTCTGAAACTTGCTTTCCAGCATAGAGATGCTAAACCAAACAGAAGCAACAAGGAGGTAAAGGAGCTGAACAGTACATTTCAAAAGGCAGCTTGAGAAGGCAAAGTCAAATACTATAAGGAAATGTACAAAGACCGAGACTTAGAAAACCAAAAGGGAAGAACACACATAAGGGACTTTTCAAGCTGAAAGAACAGAAGAAACAATTCAAGCCTCAACGTGCAATACTGAAGAAATCTATGAACAAAATATTGAATAATGTAGAAAGCATCACACAAAGATGGAAGAAATACACAGAATTACCATCCACTCAAAAAATGGATGATGCTGAGCCATTTCCAGAGATAGGAAATTATCAAGGACCAATGGTACTAAAGGAAGATCCAAGGTGCACTGAAGACATTGGCGAAGAACAAGGCTCTGGGAATTGATGGAATACAAATCGAAATCTTTCAACAAACCAGAGGCATTCACTCATCTATGCTAAGAAATTTGGAACACAGCAAGCTGGTCACCTGATTGGACTCTTCCAATTTGTGCCCATTCCAAAGGGGAGTGATCTAATGGAATACAGAAATCGTTGGACAA